TAATATCTTTATTTTATTATTTGACAATTTCACAGATCTCGATAATATCTGTGGTAGTTTGAATAAGAATGTTCCATAGGTATATGTCTTTGAATACTTGGTCTGCAGTTGGTCTAACAGGTTATGAAGGATTAGGAGATGTGACCCCGTTGGAGGAGAAAGCCATATATTGGGTACAGGCTTTGCGATCTCAAAGCTTTCGAGCCAACCCCAGCCATTCTCCCTCTGCATTTTGCTTGTGGATCAACAGCTTCCAGGGGCTCCTGCTGCAATTCCTGTGTTCCACCACCATCTGCTCAGCACCTTTGAAACAATAAACCCGTTAAACCCTTCTTATTCATTTTTTTTATTGCTTTTATTATTTTTATTACTGTTTAATCGTTAAACACTTTTTATTCATTTTTATTAGTTTTATTAGACCGCAATTTCTCCTCCTTCCATTCCTACTTTCCCTCCTCATCCTGCCTCTCTACTCCTTCCCAAATCTAACCCCCCCCACCCCGTTTCACTTCAGAAAAGAGTATGTCTCCCAGAACTATCCATCAAACAGGCCCAACAGGACACTATAAGGCTAGGCACAACCCCCCATATCAAGGCTGGGTGAGACAACCCATTTGGATGAAAAGGGTCCTACAGAGCATAGGGAAGAGTGAGAGCACACGTTGTACTGTGGACCATGTTCTTCTGCTATCCTAGGCCCCTCTGCCTCCCTCATTTCTTCCTTCCCCTCTTCCGTGGCGTTCCCTGAGTCTCAAGAGGAGGAACCTGATGGAGATCTCCAATATGGCCATTCTCTCCAATGTTGGTTGTGGGTTTCTGTGTCCGCCACCACCAGCTGCTAGCAGAAGCCTCTTTGATGATGATTGGGCTTGACACAATGTATAAGTACGTAAAAATATCATTAGTAATTATTTTATTTTATTTGTTTTATCATAGTTTTCTGGACCCTTCAGCCTCCAATTCCTAGTCATCCAGGCAGTGTACCACATAGGTTTTATTTTGTGGTGTGGTCCTCAAATTAGTCATGGGTAGACCAACAAATTCTGTGCCTCCATTGCCCTAGTACATATTGCTGGTGGAATAGATTATAGATCGAAGGTTTTATGGCTGTGTTGGTGTCCCAGGTCCACCTCTGGAAGTCTTCCCTGGTTACAGAGGATGGCTAGTTCAGACTCCTAATTATCCGTTACTTGAAGTCCTAGCTGTAGAGGAATTTTAATTCAAAACATGGCTGTTCTGGCAAGAAATCACATACAAAGACTTTGTAGGTCTTGTGATCTGGCTGGAATACAAACATGTCTTTAATCCCAGGAAAGAGAGGCAAGCAGATCTGAGGTCAAAGCCCCTGTTATGGAGAAAGTTTCAGGAAAAGAAAAGCTTGGGAAGGGGCAGGGAGGAGATGAGGGAGGAAGGGTGGGATTGGGAGGAATGAGAGAGGGGGCTACAGTTGGGATACAAAGTAAATAACCTGTGATTAATATAAAAAATAATTTTTTTAAAAGAAAAAAGAAAAGCTTAGGTCCAGATGTGGTGGAACAGGCATTTAATCCCAAACAATGAAGGTAAAGATAGTTTTTAGAAGGAAGCTCCCATGTTTGAAAGTGATGCCTAAATGAGTGACAGAAAAGGTGAGGAATCAGAAAAGGATTGATAAGATACTTCCAACTCTCAGAAGAGAAGGAAAGAGAAGCTACATAAAGGAAGCTACAGAGATAGCAGGCTATTTTCACTGGGACAGTAATAGAGAAACAGGTTGCAGAGAGAGAACTCAGGTGAAGACCAAATAGGCAGAGAATGAGAAGGAGCCAAGAGATTAAAGCAAATTGAATAAGTTAGCTGGGAGAGGAGTTTGGGTCAGAACAGCTGAGTTGAACCAGCCAGCTGACAGCTCAGAACAAGTAAGGGTAAGCTTATTCAGCAGTAGGTCTAGGAGGGTAAAAACATTCTAGGCCTAGGTTACATTTTACAGAGGCTAGAAGCTTCCAGGACGAGGCCTAGGTCAGCAGATGGAGGCAGTGAGCCTCCGAGACAACAGCTGAAACAGATGAATAAAAGTTCCTTTTACACCTTGCTGTAGTCATCTAGAAGAGTTTCTACAGGAGGAGGTTTTCACCTCCTTGCTCCCTGCCAAATGCCTTCTGATTCCAGTTATCTTTCCCAGTACCTTTAACCTCCATCTCTCCTCCCTTCCCATCGCCTTGCTTCTCCTCCCTTCCACTCCCATCCTTTATTGTCCTCCTCCAGATCCCCCTATTTCCATCCCCACCTGCCCCCAGTTCTATTTCTCCTTCCCAGATTTAATTCATCTGCCTTGTTACTTAGCTTCTCTGTGTCTGTAAACATTTTTATAAGTTGCCTTGATTATGGTGTCTTATCACTGCAATAGAACAGTAAGTAAGAAAAGAATCAAAAGTTTCTGTCCCCTTCCCTCAAATATCTCCCAATACTGTCTCCCACCTTATTTTCTATTCTTCCTTAAAAAACAAAACAAACAAACAAAAAAAAAAACCAAAAGCAAAAACACTGAGTCCAATTAGTGCTGTCTGTATGTTCATGAGTGTGGGGCCAATCCAATGGGGAATGGGGTATTTACCGGAGGCTATATGCCATGTCCACTAATAAAATGACTGGCCTTTCAGCTGTAGCCACCATCAGCACACACGGCATCTCAGTTATAGGTGGAGCCTCTAAGCTTCTCTCCCCTTCATGCTTGCATGGTGATTGTGTTGATCCTATGTAGGTCTTTTTCAGACAACCATAGCAGCAGTGAGTTCATGAGTGCTGTGTCATGTCACATCTAGATGACAGGACTTCTCCATCTTCTCTATCCTCTCCGCTTCCTCTGCAGTGTTCCCCAAGCATTTCAGGTTTGATTCAAATGTCCCACTTGGGGTGTCAGCAATCTGGTCAAGAATCTCTGCACTGACCGTGGAACATTTGCAAAAGGAAGCTTCTGTATCCAAATCTGAGAGTAGCACTAATCTATAGAAATAAATATAAAAATTTAGAGTGCACTTTAAACACTGTATTTGTTAAGCAAAATAACCATAGTAGGTTATTTTGGGCCATGACATTGCTGGCTATTTTTTTTTTAATTTTTATTTTTTAGTACATTTGCAGAATCAGACAAAATTTCAACTGTGGAAGAGATCTAAAATCCAATTGGCAAAAAGTTTATTACCTTCATAACCATAACTGTCTTGTTATTGTAACAGTTGGCACATTTTACCTGGGAGGTCAATATTATAATTTTCAAAGTCTGTATCTGGCTATGTGTATTAATAACTCTTGTCCTCCATGGCCTGCATGTTACTTCTGCTCCTGTGGAAGGAACCAAGCAGGGAGCAAGTGTCTATGGGAATCAGTTCCAGCTTGATTTCTGCATGTCCTGAAACCATTGCCTGTGTTATCTTCTAAAATAGGGCTTTAATGTCAAGCTGTGGGTGGCAGCCATGAATAACAGCAATCTATTATTTTGCGGTAGGGCAAGTTTTAGTTCAAAACGATTTTGTCACCATATTTAAGTGACACAGCATTTTATATTCTGAATAATTGTGCTATCTTTATTTTCCCTCATTATCTTGTTTTCATGACTATTTGACTTTGGTTTCTTTGTCCTTTCCCAACCCCCCCCCCCTTTTTTTTTTAGTACTTTTGACTTTTTCTCTCAATGCATGGTGCTTATCTATGAAATTCCATCAATATCCATGTCTTTGCTCATTATTCTCTTGGTTGAATGCTCACAACAGTACCCAGTCTGCCAACGTCTAGTGTCTCCTATTTAAGAGCATAGAGCTGTTACACTCATGACTCTTGGAACAGTAGCATCGTCAGCATCTGTTGGCCTTTGTGAAATATAGAAATCTGGTCCCTGTTTGGGGCTATTAGATCTACAGCTGCATGTTGGCAAGATTCTCAGATGATGTTAACTCTCATGAAGTTTTAAAAGAAGCATTTTACTTAATTCTCTAGATGGGCATTCTCAAAAAATATCAGCTGAATACTCTGATTAATTCTTTGGTCTTTGGTCATTTATTACTCTGATGACTATTTATTAGATCCACTATCACCATCATTATCTGAAATCTAAAGCAATGAATAAAACAAACAGAATAAAGCAAACAGAAGAACCTCTGCCTGCTTGAATATTTTATCTAGAGCAAGGAGGGAAGATAAGAAACTGCAAAATATAAAGAAAACACATATACACAGTGGGCTAGAGAGTGAGTCAGGAAAGATGGAAACACTGAGCAGAGTAAGAGCAGCATGGGGCAGAAAGGATTGACTGCTTCTTCCTTTGCTGTTTGTATCAGGGAATGATGCCAGCTCAAGGACTTTAGCGAGAAATTATGTTAAGGTTCTTACTTTACCCATGAATTTTGATTGGCGTGTATTTGTGCGTGCGCGTGCGCGTGCGTGTGCGTGTTGCCGTTTGCAGGCGTTGGGCACACAGTTATGTGCAGGCGTGTGTGTGCGTGTACACACACATGGGTGATGTCGGTGTCTTTCTCCCTTTTAGTCGTTAAGGCAGAGTTTCTCGCTGAAGCCAGAGCTCACTGATTCTGGCTCCTCTAGTTATCAAATTTGTCCCAAAGGTATTCTGTCCCTACTTCTGGTATGTTTAGATTACCGGTGGCCATCACACTTGCCTAGGTGGTATGAGTTTTGGTTATCACTGGCTCTTGAATTTACAAAGCAAGCATTGTTTGCCCTTCAAAGTCCTGTGTGTGTGTGTGTGTGGTGTGTGGGTGTGTGTGTGTGTCTACATGAGATGTAATAACTTCTATCTTTAAAATAAGACTCATAGTCAGTGAAAACGTTCTATTACTGAAATAAATTTAACTATAATGTTTTTACTGGTTGTTAGAAAATATGTGAAAATATGAAAATAAATAAGTTGACTGTAGCATTCTATAAATTATATATAGTAATATTTATGTGGATATACTCTATGGATTTTTAAATGCTTTTATTGTTTTGTTTTTGTCTTTTCCATTCAGAGAATTCATCAATAGCCTTAGACTGCACAGGTCCTTCTATGGTGGCCTGGCTGACCAGCTCTGCATTAATGAATTAGCTGCTGCTGAAGGAAGGCCCTGCTGGAATGGAGAGGATGTGGTGAAAAGGTAAATTCTGTGTAAATCCCCTTTTCTTCCTTACTTCCTTCTCCTGTAATTAAAATGTGTACTTACTGTTGTTACTTTACAACACAGATTAGAGGTTAATCCCTTATTGTTACTCTCTTTGATTATTTTAATCCTTTCCATTTCTACTCTGAGGGTACCATGTGTTGAATTTATCATTTTTTCTTAATGTCCACCTGTCTCCAACTTATACAACAACCCAACCTTAGAACTGTTGTTTTCCATGTAGTTGGTTTTATTTACCAAATGTCTTATTTTTAACTTTCATGAATATTAGATTGTGAGTAACCTTCCTAAATCCTAAATAATCCTGCAAAGATTAGAGAGGAAATAGGGGGAGAGATGGAAGAGAAGGGGGAAGGGAAAAGGGGGAAGGGAAGGAGAAGCAGAGGGAGGGAAGAGTATTTCTAAAGAATAAAGTAAAACAAACTTTTCATCTATACACTACATGGTTAGGATTTAAACCTCTTAACAAGAATGTCTGAATCTGTGCAAATTCTCTTTGCTTTCAAGTTTTCATTAAAAAAGGAGAGACAGTGTGTCTACTTAAGTTGCATACCTGCTCTACTTGGTATCTCATGGCTTAGTTCTTTCTTTCTTTCTTTCTTCTTCTTCTTTCAATGAAATGACACGTTCACTTAAAGTATCATCTAGCAAATTGTTACTCTGAAAAGTGCATACCGCAGAAGTACACTTTTAATACAAATGTCTACAATAGTTCTTAATAAATCTATAGGTGATCATATTCATTATTCTTAGAAGCTACATTTTTATATCATAGTTAATAAATGGACTCTCAGAGATGATGAACATTCACAGAAAATGATTTTCAAAACAAAAACTATACATTGAAATAAAGTGTTTGGTGATCGGACTAAAATATTTTTTTCATCATTTTCTTTGAGTATTGGACTGTGATTTTAAATGTGTATTTTACACTTACTGTGAACGGTCATAATAAAAACTTAGTGGGTAAAATAATTTTGTCTGTATTTTTTTCTTCTAAGGTATACTAATTAATTTCTACTTTGCATTCTAAATATTTGTAACATATTATTCAGATTGAAGAGAACTGTTCTGTGAAGATATTCCTAACAAATTAGTGAGAATCCAATGATTGTAAATGAAAGATGAAGCATTTAATGTGAATTTATTTAATATATTATGCGATTTGTTATACTGTGCTATCCAAATCTTCGTCTGTAAGTGTCTGTAAGTATTGATGTTCCATTTGTGTAATTCTTCTGTCGCTAGTTTGAGATTTGTGCAATAGAAGACACTGACTTAACAAAAGCTTCAGGACAGAAAATACTTTTAATTCACATAACAAAAGTTTATATACTTGATGTTACCTTTAGCACCCCACACACTTGAATTTAGGAGGCACATCTTTAGATAGAATTCTCCAGGAAAAGTTTCTACATTTCCAGAACAAAGTAATTCCGGGTCTTCATTTCCATATGGTCCATTGTTTCCTTTCTCCATACTGCTAAGACCTTTATCTTCCTGAAATCATCCAACTAACCCCGTTGCCTCAACGAACACCTTAGCCTTTCTTCCCCATGTCGTGGCTTGGAGACTATTCCTGTGACCACTGAGATCCTGAATGGTTTCATCCCCACCCCCCCAACTTCCATTGTTTGTGAATATGTTTCAGTCCTGATTATTTCTAGACTGTGAGCAAAGAAATTTAAGCATGGAGTCATTTACTTCTCCCAAGATAACTCTAACGTACGAAAGTAAATTCGCTATCTTATATATTTTGTCTCATTAATACTGAGAGAGCTTTCTTGGGTACCTTATCTTTTTACATGCTTGACTTATATTGTATTTTTCATTATGACTCAACCAGTTATTGGGTTAATTTAGAACAAGATCTTTTCTGTCAATGCAAACTTAATGCTAAAAATCTGGATATCTATGCAATCTAGTTGCCTGTGTATGCTGCATTTAATGTGTTTTCTATTTCAATCTTAACTGTTTTCTTTTTTTATTAGTTTCTTGCAAAAAGTAAAACTTCATTTGGTAAGAAGTGCTGTTCATTAATAGTTTTAAATATCTAATTTAGGTTTTAAAAGTTTTGTGACATTTTTGTCAAAAGCACTGAAAACTGAAAGAGGTGTTTAATATTGAATTCCTGGATTTACCTAAAAGCATTTCTATAAAATACTGAGTCCAGACAACTGCTACAGTATTAATTTTTATCTTCAGAAAAAAAATAGCAAGATCCACAGTAAAGGGCTACATGCAGCCTTTGCATTAAGCATTCACTTTAGAGTCATACCATTAGTTAAACAAACAAGGCCACTCGGTTCTGGAAAAATTGATACCAAGTGACTGTGTGTCATGTTTAGGGTGAAGACTATTATGCCTTTTATGGTAGACTATAATACCCAATTGAGTTCATCCTGGGAAAATTATGCCAAACACATCAACACACTAAATTGGTTGCCAAGATTGATTTTATCGTTTGTTATAAGACTGGAGTGATTATTTTGGCGATGTTCCTTCTCCTGCAGGCATTTGTTAGGAGGTGACTGATAAAATTATTTATGTGCACTGCTGTGCTGCTCTGAGGCTTCTAGAGGCTTCTGTGTTACTCCAGTCTGTGAAACTGCTTACTTGTGAATATAAGAGAAAACGTCTCAACTATCTGTAGCATAAGGAGAGTTTTGTCTTTGAAACAAAGTCTAATTTAATTCTAATAATTTTAAAGACAGCCTTTGTGCCATCTACTCTCCAGCGTAACACTGAGGTCAATAGGTCAAGTTCCTGATTTTAGATAAAAATGAGCTGCTGCTGCTGCTGCTGCAATCTTTGTAACCCTCATCCCTGGAGGTCTCTCTTATTTACCATACTTTTTTCTTATCTTGAAAGAAAAATTGTTCTGTGGAAGACATGCCAGTCTTGACTCTGTTCTCAGCTATCTATGACTGTAAATTGATTGTTCAGTGATTTCTCCACTTCCCTCTGGGTGGTGAAGTTTAGATGACAGCTCCTTAATTAGCAGGACTTGCCCCGCCTTGTTATTAATAGATAGAAAATCTAGTAACTCTCTGGACATACAGGAATTCATGATCTCTACATTAGCCCTTGAAATAGCCAGGAGCTGTTAACAACTTTAATAAAATTAATAACCCACGACATATCTACTTCATGTTGAATTAGCTAATGCTTCCTAATGCTTCTGGCACAATCCAGTTTTTTTCTCTCTCTAATTCTTGTGATAAGGTGACCATTTTCATAATGCTTATGAATAAGTTTTTAAAATCAAATAAAAACAGACCTGTGTTAGCAGTCCCTTAATGTTATACTTACCTATTATCACTTTTTATTGTAAATAGAACTTTTTTCTCAACAGCAATTATTTTTTAACTTCTTTTTTCTCACTTTTACCTATCACCTAACTAGAAAACAATTTTGATCTTAATCTTTCTTTTATTCTTTCTGACCTTATAGTGTTTAATTGTATTTCTCCCATTTTTACAAAAACAAGTAGTCTAATTCTCCTGTTAGGACCTTCCTTTGGAGGCAATCAGATCTCCATTGCTTTGAATGTATTCATGTAATAGCCACGTGCTTTTCTTGCATACTGTGTAAAATGCAGTATTTCTAGTGACTTGAATACCTAACTGCTTTCACTTTGTTGTCTGTGCATGATATATACCCAGTTAGGTTTGTATATATTGCCCAAATCCCTTTCCTTTAAAAATTTTTAAATTCCTTTTTTTTTAAGTTGAAAAAAAGTTTTATATTGCATTATGTGCTTCATTATGGAATATAGTCTATGAACTTGTTCATCACCGAAAATGAAAAATCTGTGACAGAGTGAGAACTAGAAAAGCAATGAACTTTACATCCTTTTTCACAACTTGTCTTTGCTACCCGCACTCAATCCTTCCTCATCCCCAACCTTTTCAAGATCATAATATTTTCATACCAATGCCACAATATAATTGGTTGAGAACTAGGGGTGTTCAAAAATGGGATTTGTGGGCTTATTTATCTCAGAAATCTACTACAGAGTGTGAAAACTCCACTATTAAAAAGAATAATTTCCATCTAAATTATTTTATCTAGGCAACTATGCATATAACTTTGCCAAATTCCTACTTTCATCTCATGTTTTAGTAGAATGTACTCCCTAATTTGTGAGTTGAAACCCCTAATTTACTATGCTACTTATAAAGCCTTTTGTGCTATATATCACATCTTCTGTATTCTATTGTAATTTCTTTTTGAGTAAAGCTTTTGTGTTAGGAGGGAGGTTGGAAATGATTAACATCATTGAGTGTATGTTAGTGGTGCTCTGAAGATGGCAGAACTGAGGAAAGTAAGTCCATAAGGCAGTCTTTCTCAGCCTCCCTAAGCTGCGACCTTTTATACAGGACCCCACGTTGCGGTGGCCCCAACCACAGTTATTTTCATTGCTTCTTCATAACTGTAACTTTGCTGCTGTTATGAGTTGTACGCAAATATCCACGTTTCCCAATGGTCTTATGCAGCTCCTGTGAAAGGCTTGTTTGACCCTCAAAGGGGCTGTAACCCACTGGTTAGTTGTGAACCGCTGCCATAAGTAGTACTGAGCACTGAAGTTCGGCCTGTAGGGAGTAGCCTGGTGGAGACTCTTGATAGTAGGTGCCTAAGTGAAGTTGAATACCCAAGAGTGTAGGAGAAGGATGAGTCTGAAAATTGCTTGCCTTGATCTGCTCTGTGTGCTGTTTTTGTTTTTCTTTGACTTTGTGTTAGGTCACAAGTATCACATGGGATGTACTTGAAATTGTGAAAATGAAGTCCAGAGAGCTCTTCTAATCAAAGGCGTGTTGAGTTAAAGCATATTAGACAAAGTCATCATACTGATTTATGAGGGGGTCTTCTTGGGGATGTATAAAAAATACAAAGCTTGTACAATGGCAAAAGTCTGAATTCACATACAGGAAAGGCAGCTCTGTAGTTAAAGAGTAATTGCTACTCCTTCAGCG